GGGGGGCGGGCCCCAGGGGGCGGGCAGCCGAAAGCCATCGCTGATGGCCTTCATGACCTGCCACGGGGAAGGGGTGGTGTGTGAAGGGGGCGAGCGAGCTGGGGAGTGGGGACCATCCCCTATCCCCAGGCAAGCTGGCTGGGTCCTGGGAACATCAGGCTCCCCCTGGGGACATAAAGCCCCCCGATGCTGAGCAAGTAGCTGTGGGTCAGAGCATCCTCCGAAGCGTGGCCCATTTGACCCCCGCAGGCTGTGAAGGCGCTGGGCTCCACAGAGCATGCTGCTCAGGGCCCAGGCGAGCAAGAGATTTGGGCACGGCTCTCCTGCCAGCTCCCCCCGTGCCTGGCCTGGCGGGTGGGCACCGCTCACCTCGTGGTTCGAGAGCTCCCAGTACGGGCGCTCGCCGTAGGACATCACCTCCCACATGACGATGCCGTAGCTCCAGACGTCGCTGGCCGAGGTGAACTTGCGGAAGGAGATGGCCTCGGGGGCTGTCCAGCGGATGGGGATCTTGCCGCCCTGCGGGAGAAGATTGCACTGGTCAAGCATGGTCCCCGTCTCACCCCTGCACTGCCCGGCTGGGGTGGGGGATGGAGGTCCTTGACCCCGGGTTTGGTCCCCGCCAGGTCTGATCACGAGACGGCACCTCCTTGATCTCCGCTTCCAGCTATGCTGGGTCGGAGGAAGGGGTTTCCTCTGGGAGGGATGAACAGCTGCCATGAGCCGTGGGAGCACAGGCAGGGCTGCTCACCGCTGGCTGGGGGCTGAGTGTCACGGGGATCTCCCACCCAGGCTGTGGGGCACATCCCCCGGGAGGCAGGCAGGGCCCTCCAGCAAAGCCCAGGAGCAGCTTAGCTTTGCACACCCCCGGCAGAGGCCCAGGCCCAGTGGGGGAGTCACCATGGGGCAGGTTTGTCCCTGGCAGGAGCTGAGCAAAGCCCTGAGCAGGGCAGGGGAGGGCAGGCAGCGTGCTGGGATGGAGGATCCTGGATGCACAGTGCTCCAGGGCTGGAGGTGAGGATGGCAGGGCCAGGGCAGACAGGTACGTGTCCAGCACCAACACGAGTTGGCCAGGTTTGGGTGGAGGGGGCAGCCTCCGGGAATCCCGGCGCCCAGCAGCACTCACGCTGGTGGTGTAGGTGGCATCGGGGTCGTCCTCCAGGACGCGGGACAGGCCAAAGTCAGACACCTTGCAGACCAGCTGGCTGTTGACGAGGATGTTGCGCGCGGCCAGGTCCCGGTGCACGTAGTTCATGCTGGCCAGGTACTTCATGCCCGCGGCGATGCCTCGCAGCATGCCCACCAGCTGGATCATGCAGAACTCGCCGTCCTTCTCCTGAGGAGAGGCCGTGGTCAGCGCTTCCCTGTCGCCAACCCTCGGTACTTCACCCAATGGGCCACCAATGCTACCTATACAGTGCAGCCAGCTCTGGGGTGGGCTACTGCGGTGGGACTCCTAGCCAAGGACACAGGTGCCAATCCAGGCTCAGAGAGGGCCGGGAGAGCTGAAGTCCTAGATTGGGCTCTGGTGCAAGACCCGCACACAGGAAACCTCCAGGGGCTCAGTTATCATATAGGGGAGAAGTAATGGCTGAGAGACCCTGTGCTAGGCGGTCCGGCTCTCATTCTGGGAAAAAAACTGTGCATTGGACGACAGACGCCTTTCCTTGCCGGCCCCTCAAACCAGGAGGGGCCTGGCAGCTGCCCAGGGACTTTCCATCATTGCCGCTGCTCGTTTGCTTTGCACTCTGCTCTGCTCAGGCTATCCAAGAGGCACGTCGGAGTCGCCCTTCCCCAAACCCCGGGGTGGACAGGATCACGGCCGCCCACACGCTCCCAGCAGGGAGCAAACCCGGCCCTGCCGGCTGGGCCGTGATAATCCCTTCCTTTCTGCGTGTTCAGCGAGGAAGCAGGACACCTACCCGCAGGAACCTGTCCAGGGCTCCGTTCTCCATGTACTCGGTGACGATCATGAAGGGTTTATCTGAGGAGAGACGGGTGGATCTCAGCACGGGCGGGCAGCGCTCTCGCCCCGTAGAGCTAACCCTGCCGCTTTTCCAGCGGAGTCGCTGGCCTCGTGCCCCGGGCGGTGCTTACATTTGGAGACGACGCCTTCCAGGCGGATGATGTTGTGGTGGCAGAACTGGCCCATGATGCTGGCTTCGCTCAGGAAGTCGATGCGCTGCTTCTCCGTGTAGCCCACCTTTAGTGTCTTGATGGCCACCGGCACGTCCTTCTTCCCGTTCTTCAGGGTCCCCTTGTAGACTTCCCCGAACTCACCTGGCAGCGGGAGGGAAGGAAGGGGTGACCCACGCGTGGCTTTGCTTCCCATCCGCCCCCTCTACGTAAGCCAACAACCCTGACTTTGGGCACACATGGAGAGGCAGCCCCGTCCACCCCAGCCCCCGACCGCGGGAGGAGGGGGTGACCTACCTGCCCCGATCACCTTCTGGCGCGTGACGCACGAGGGGTGAATCTCGGTGGTGAATTTCAGCACGGCCTGGTTGGGGTCCTCGTAGGTGTGGGGGTCCACGTACGTCTTCAGGGGCTTCAGCTGGTCTGTGGGGACACGGGGAGTGAGGCTGGAGGCTCGGAAAACCAGGAAAGCGCATCCTATGCGCATCCTAGGACAGCTGCAGCCTGTCCCCAGGTCTGCTCAGCCCAGCACCCTGTCTCCAGGTCTGCTCAGCCCAGCACCCTGTCTCCTGCTTCAGGGAAGGGTCAGGCTGTGGCAAGCTAAGGAGAGAGTCTCTCCGCGGCCAGGGCGGCTCGGGGAGCAGCCGGGCTCTCCGATGCTGGCCGGACCCCGTGCGGCAGGGAGAGGGGCGAGGGAGGAGAGGCGGCAGGCATCCATCCGTGCACAGGCACGGAGCAGGGTTGCAATGAGATGGGGGAGTCGTGCCCTCCTCGCTGCTGCACCCCTCGCTACGGGGCATTCGGGGAAGGGAGCCCCATCCCGCCTCGAGTCCTCACTCACCAGACTTGGAGTAGTAGACGTCGTTTTCCGACTGGCGGGCGCGCAGGTTCCTTTTCCTAAAATAACAATGAGAGAGTTGGATCTGGAGCCTCCAAAGCATCAGGGACTCCCCAGGGAGGTCCTGCCAGGTCCTCCCTCTCCATCCAAGACCCCGAACTGGAGCCACGAGGGGTCCTGTGTGCCCATCTGGGCCCCAGCACCCGAGGAGAGTGCGGCTCTGCTCCTCTGCCAGGCGGGGAGCTCAGCAGCAGCCGGTGGGCACGGATGAGGCATTTCCACCTCCCTCTTACTCACTTCCACCCTGCTGCGAGGTCCGGGTTGCAAAGCCCCGTCCGCCCGCCGTGGAGACGTTATCCCTCCCCGCCGAGAGCCAGCAGAGACCAGCCATCCTGCGGGGAAGGGAACGTGCAGCCGCTGCCTTGTGAAAGGAAAGAGGGAGAGAGGAAAAATACCTTCGGTGAAAGTACAGCACGGCAGCCACCACGAGGGCCAGCAGGAAGACCCCGGAGACAGCACCGCCGACCACGGCCGCCGTGTTCATGCCCTCAGTACCTGCAGGAGGGAGGAGAAGGATTGGGAAGCTGTTGGGGATCGAGCCAACGCTATGAGACTAGACGCAAGCTAGGACCATCACCGTGGCGTGGCTCCGCGGCCGCCTTGGCTTGTCCGGACCCTTCTGTTTCTCTGCCTACATCTCTCGTGCCTCCCACCCACTCGAACAACAGCACCAGGGGCTGTGCCTGCCCCAAACGACTGACACACGGGTGCAGGCGTGATGGGAACCATTGGCCTGGGAAGGAAGCAGGACCCGGGGTCCCACTGCTGACCCGCAGAGGGACTCTGGGAACCCAGACAGGTTTGAAGAGCCAGCACCACCAAAGCAAATGCTCACAACATAAGGATATCTATGTTTTAAACAGCAAGATCAATGACAGAAGGCACCAGAAAAGATATCAAGGACCCAGCAGTATGGAGAAAGGAAATGATTCAAATATATCAAGGACCAAGAGGTACAGAGAAGGGAAATGATTCAAAAGGATAAGATGCACATTCATCTCCAGGTGTAACCAGCCCATCAATATCTGAAAGCAAAGCAATCTTAAAATTTCTAAGTCCTGAAGTCTCTAGCTGGTGGCCAGCCCATTAGGGAAAGGCCCGTTTTACCTTGGTTTCAAAAATAAGTCTCTAAATGGCACTAATGAAGTGCACGTGCAAGGGGGCAAGTCATAGTTTGAGGCCAAAGAGCACAAACTCCGCAGGGGCCCCAGCTTTTACCCTCTATGGCTTGGCCAAAACATAAAAAGCTTGCTAAATTAGGCAAGTAATTGGTGCCGCTCTAATTAATATTCACATGCCTATTCTTATTCCCTACGTAAGCACTGTCTGATTTAAACTTAGCCGTGTCTGTGCTCCATCTACTCGGTGTACTTGAGGCGACTGCGATTTTATTCCCACCCCCGCCCCATTGCACAGCCGGGGACAAGTCACAGCCCTGTTTTATGCCTTGGTTTTCCCATCTGTGAAATGGGCACCACTAATGGGAGGCTCGACGCGCATCCCCCGCACTCACCCCCTGGCAGCGTCTCGAACTCGAAGGTGTCGCTCTCGGTGCTCTGGCCCTCCTGCGTATGGGTCAGGATGTGCACCCTGTACATGGTGCCTGGCGCGAGGTTGGATAGGGTCACGCTGTTTCCTTCGCAGCGTACGACAGAGTAGCCTCTGCTATCCATCTGCAGGAAGGAAGCAGGAGCCCCCCGTCACCTGGAGCTGGCAGCCTCAGGCCCTCTGGCCTCACTTCAGAGCTGGGGATGTCTCCGTTCCCCGCTGCCCTCTCAGCCCAGAGCCTTACGCACCCAGAGCCTGGCCAAGAACAGCAAGGACTCGTGACGTGCATGGACTCATCCCTCCGCGGCTCCCAGCCCTCCAGTGAGCAGAAGCCCCCGAGGAAGCTAATGGTCTCGCTACCTTTTTTCTGTAGGTGACCTCGTATCTCGAGACCCGGCTCGCCTGCCGGGCTGGGACCATCCAGGACAGCGTCAGGCTGGTGGCCGTGTGGCCGTCCAGGTTCACCGACATCACCTTGGGAGGTTCTGGGCAAGGGAGAAGAAGGCTGGGATGAAGCGGGGGCCGAAAGGGGCAAATGCCAGAGACATAGGCATCACAGAGCTGCAACCAGAAACCCACCCCAGTGCCCCTATGGACCTCCCCGCGCCCTTACCCGTCTGGTTGACGCTGATGCTCGCAGTGCCGTAGTTGCGGCTGTTGCTGAAGGACGAGACCCCATTCCTGGCCTCCACGGTGAAGGTGTAGTTCATGTAGGGCTCCAGGTCGCTGACGGTCACGGACGTCCCGGTCAGGCCGTGGGGCGGGTCTGAGTAGCGGATGCTGGAGTCGCAGGGCCGGCACTCCCCAGTCTCGGGCCGGCACTGCTCACACGTGATGGTGTAGGTGACATCTTTGCGGCCCCCCGTGTCGCGGGGTGGGGACCAGCGCAGCTGCACCTTGGCGCCCAGGCCGATGGCGGTGACGCCGTGCGGGGCAGACGGGGGACCTGGGGGTGAAGGGTACTGAGTCACGGTGCCCGGGTCTTTCCACCGCTCCGAGGCAGGGCAGAGCCATCACACGGCTCCAAGGACAGGGAGAAACCAAGTCCTGAGCTTGTGGATTCCTGGCAAAGCCACGGCCAACCCACACACCCCATGGGGAGCATCGGCCAAATCCGTGGTCGCAGTCGTGCCCATCAACACGACCAACACGCGCAGGGAAATGCAGTAACGGGGGTGCTCCCTGCATCAGAGGAACAGTGGAGAAGGGGCAGGACTCTCAATAACTTGATCCTCTGGGGTGTCACCACCCCCGCCTCTCGGTGCCTCAGTTTCCCCGGTGACAATAAGAGGCAGGAAGCCCTTCCCAATCCCCAAGGTCATTGCAGCAACCCTTGCACAAGACTGAAAACTGCCAAGGGCAGTGCTGGCTAGTCCAGGTGAGCAACGGGTGGTTCATACTGGTGGGTACTGGAGGGCAGCTCGTTGTCCCACATGGCCCCGTACTTACGTGAGCAGGGAAAAGAAGGGGGATCCTCGGTGGACCGGAAATAGCCTTCCTCACACGGGCACAAAGTGGAGCCTTTGGGGGAGGGCAGTGTGTGCGGGGGGCACTTGGCACAGGTGCCATCGGAGATGTCCGGTTTGAAGAACCCGGGAGAGCAGGCTGCAGGGGGAGAGAGCGAGGCCGGGATTAGCTCGTCCAACATTGAATGTGCGCTGGCCCGTGCACCAGCCCTTGATCGGCAGCCATGCATTGCACAGCCGTGCTCATGGCTGTCCAGAAAGGACTAGCCCAAGGCTTTGCAATGAACCACCCCACCGGTGCCAAGTGCCCTCCGTCCCGCCTATCTGCACCACCCCGCAGAGTGCAGAAGGTTGTCAGGGATTGCTAAAGGGACACATCTGCTGCATCTCAACAGGGACGAGCTCCTTCCCATCGACGAGGCGCCAGGGTCATATTGCGTTAACCACCTGCTGTCAGGCTGGTACCAGAGCAATCCACTGCAGAGCTGCCCCCAAGGCATCCTAAGCCGGATGCCGGCAGCAGGCCACGCCTGGCTGGGACTTTATTTTTGCAAACTCTGCTAGTTTCTTTTCTTTCCTTGTTCTGAACAAAGAGAGTCGGAGCGGGGGGAAGAGGGGGGAGTCTCGGTCGTGTTCCTTGACACGCGTTTTTTCCACAGGAACCTGCTTTCCGTCTCCGCCAGCCTGGGGGGTCCCTTGCTCCAGCGCTTTGCAGAGGAAGCGGCTTCGGAAGCCAAGCGGCCTGGCTTTTCAGGAAGCCTCGGTGCTTGGGCTCAGCCCAGGGCACTCACATCCCTCCTCTGTGTTACTGGGTCTTTAGGCAAGTACAAAGATCCCGGCCAGGCAGGGAAAAGCTGCTCTCACCCCCAGGAAAGCCTGGGGCAATAGCGGGGGGACTGACAGAGCCCAGCTGTGTGCTTGGCCCCTTCCCCAACAGCCTCTTCAGCCCCCAGCCCTTACATCAGGAAGCTTAATGGCCCAAGACAGGAGTAAATCTCCTCTCCCGATTTGGCTGTACTGGGGAACAATAGGGCAGTAAACCTGTCAGGGCCCCAAGGACGAGCCCTGGTGCCCAGGACATGGCTTCCTTTCTCCGAGGAAGGGGAGAGAGACAGGAGCCTCCCAGGCTTTTGGAGGAGAATGAGCTCTAGTTAAACTGAGATAGACAGACAAGACAGATGTGCAGACAGATGTGCAGATCGATCGACAGACAAATAGATAGCTCTGCAGGCATACAGACAGATGCTGCAGTGTCACCAGCTCTTAACGTTGTACCCAGAGGTTTGCAATGCTTGACCTTTTCCCTCAAAGCTCCAGCTCCCGGAGTCCTGCGATTTCCTGGCAACTTCAGCTTTCCTTTCGAACTACAGTACGCTTCTAGCCGTTGGAGTTGGAAAACAGGATGGCACTGCACCTGACACCACCCTGCAAGCTCCCCAAGCAAGAAGGCAAGCGGGAAAATCCCAAGGGTCATTTTTCTTTTCAAGCCCAAGCTCCTGGAAGGGGCAGGGGGGCTGAGGAGGTAGACAAACAATTTTGGCAGTGCCCGCTGCACAGACAGGGGATTGTACTATAAAGGACGGGTTAGACACAGCCCTAGGGCTTGGAGAGCCTACATGCAAGTCCTTGCTCTCCCACAGCTGTCCTGGCCTCTCCATGTGGGCTCCTCATCTGCACGCTGGGCAGAGCAGCCCTGGCATGAGGACGAAGACACCACATAGCCAGAGGCGCTCAGCTCCTGCCAGGAGAGGCTCCCGGGGATACCTCTGCAAAGCCCGGACACGGAGCAAAGGATGACTTTAGACTTTAAAATATGCAAAATGCAAACCAGGCAGACTCCGTCCTGGCCCACCACCGCACCCTGGGAACTGGAGTTTCCATTGCCAGCACCGCTGCATTGAAGGAGACACCTTTGCCCTCTACGGCTAAGCACGGAAGAGCACACGGCCGGGGTACAGAGGTCGTCAGTGCCCACAGGGCTTTTCCAGGGGGGTGGCATATGCCTTGCAGCAGCGCCCACTGCCCCAATTCGGAGCCCGGGCGCACATGTGCAGACACAAGGGTCTTGCTGAGGGCTATAAGCCCGTGGGGACAGGCGAGCGGCCCAGGGAACAGTGGGCAGAGAGGGGAGGATGGCAGACTCCGGCTGTAGGACCCGAGGCGGGAAGTAGGAATATCTGTGTTTATTCCTGGAGATAAACTCCTTTGTTTCCTTCCCTTCGGGCTCCTTTCCCAGAGGCTGTTGGGCCCCGAGGGCTAGTGGTAGCTGTCCGGGACAGGAGGTCAAGGAAACTCTCCGCACAAAGGGCAAATTCCCATCTCCGCCCCCGTTCCCCTTCCGCAGCGGGAAGCACCTCCATCTGCCCTGGGGGGAGCGGAGGGGCAGCCCTATGGCGTGTGGCAGGGGGTGCATGTGTGTGTATGTGCGTCGAGGGTAGACTTTACCGCACAGGCCTATACCCCAGGGACCAGCGCCCGTATGCAGAGGTGCGGCCCGTCGAAATGCAGGCCCCAGCAAGCAAGAGCCTGCCCGCAGACGAGCAAAGAGAGACTTTGCAGCCACGTGCCCGGGAGGTGCCAGTGTGTTTGCAGCCACTGCCAGGCCCAATTGCCCTATTAAAATCTGAGGGCGATAGGGCACAGGGTTGGCAGGTCTGGTGAGGACTGCCTCCACCCTGTCTGGCGCAGGGAAGAGTGGAAACATGCCCCAAAAGACGAGAAATCCCCCCATCCCGCGCTAGCCAAGGATGGAGGGAAAAGCCGGGCGGCGGTTGGACAAAGGGATGCATCTGCCTGCCTGGTTTACAACCCGCCAGGGTCACTTAGCTTAATGAGACCATTAGCCAGCAGGGTCCCTATCCCCTCCCCCCGTGCACACATGCACAGGCCTGCACACACAAAGCCTCCATTCAGCGGGCACAGAGCGCCTGTGTCTGTCCCGACACCCTGTCAAGGGTCCTGGCAAGCGGACGGTGGGCGCTGGCTCTCCCAGGACGACAGCAGGGTTGGAGTTGGCTGGTGCTTTTGACCCTTCCTGGCCAGGCAGTGAGAATGAGAGGAAGGTGCTGGAGGAAGACAGATGGAGCGTGGCTGACCAGCGCCGGGCAGGGGCACTGCTGGGGAGCGACGTCTGTCCATGCCGGGAGGTTCGGCCCGCAGCTGGCACCGGGGACACCCGGGAAAATGCCAATAGCCGCAAAACTGCAGGGTCTGGGTGGGGAGGGGGCCACATCTTGGCCCTTGGGGGAGCTTCCCCCGTTGCTATCCCTCCCCATCCCGTCACCGGTCACCTGCATGATCCCCTGCAGCGGTACCCTACTGTGCTAGGCGCTGTGCACACACCTGCCCCAAAGAGCTGGCCGTCGATGGCTACAACCGGGGAGCACATGGCGCCGCGCGGGCCAGCAAAAGCAGTGGTCTCGGGGTGCTGCAGGCCTGGGGGCTCTGGGGACGGGCGCGATGGAGAAGGAGGCTGACCAGCCCTTCAGATACGGGCAGCTCCCGACTGACCCACACCTCCCTGGGAGCACAAGGGGGTCCCTCCTGCTATGGCCCGTGCTTGAGACATGCTCCATAGATGCCAGGAGCATGTCTGAAGCATGGGCCATAGCAGGAGGGACGTGCTCCATAGATGCCAGCCCCCCGGGCACCTGGCAGCCCGGGCTGGCCAACCCTTCCCAGCTCCGCCAGCCCCTCACTTCCCAGTGCAGCCAGTTTGTGCCGAGGCAGGAAGCATTACAGCGGGGAGGGGAAAAGACCTCGCTGCGGCTCCGGGGACCATCTCTCCTCCCTGTTCCCGACCATCAGACCCCGAGGGTCCAATCTCAGACTCTCTGCTTAGGCATCCGCATGGCGAGGAGCAGTGTCCTGGTCCTGCCCCAGGGCTGCCCAAACCCCTCCGCACCCAACTCAGAGGCTTGTGCAGGAATTGCAGCCCCCCCAAACCCTCTGACCCCAGTAACTTCCCTCGCCCCCACGGGAGCTCTGGGCAGCCGGCCCAGAGGCTCCAGGACCCGGGGGGGGGGAAGAGGAGGCGATGGAGGGATCGCGTTTCCCCCGCGGCTCTGGAATCCGAGCCCGATCTCCGAGCCGGCCCCTCTCTGGCACGGCTCTCGCACCGCGACTCCTCCGCTTTCTCATCACCTGCCCCGGAGCTGGAGGCACTTGCATGGATGCCGGTGCCGAGATGCTGGGTGGATGGGCACAGCCAGACAGACCTACCTCCGTCCCGGGCTTTTGGCCCAGGGCATCTCTGCCCAGCAGGACAGACGGACCCAGCAGCAGCTCCTGGATTGCAGTAACCCAGCAGCACTGGCCCCTGGCACCCGCAGCCTTGCCTGCGGGATCGGCTGTGCTTTCTCTTGTAGTTATGATGCTAAGAGCCAGCGTTTCCCTTCTGTTTTAGCAGGGTCCTCGGGGACCCGCTCTGCCAGGGACTCCCATGCAGCTGGGCTTCCCCGCACCCCCGGCCAGAGGAAGTGGGCAGCCTTGGGAGGTGGGAGGAGGAAGGGGCTGATGATTCACCCCCCAGGGCTGCTCTGCCGGGCCTCATCTGCCCGCAGGCCCATCTGCCGAGGGGCAGGGAGGGCTGCTCCTCCTGGCTTGTGTTTGCACAGCTCCGAGCACACGGGGCTGGAGCTGGGATGCTGGGGAGGGGGCCTTTGGGCCCAATCCGGCCCATGGATCAGCCCCACATTTGGCACCACCCTGAAGGCTCTTTATCTCCTCTCTAGGGAGCTCCTGGGGGTGGGCCTGAAGGATAATTTGATTTCCCCCGACATTCCTCCTGATCAAACAGAGCCCACGCAGGCCTGCCTGCCTCTGCATCCTATCTGCCCTTGGCATCCTTGCTTTCCTCTCTGCCCCCGGGAAGGCTCCCAGCCCAGAGGAAGTGCCCTTGTTGGCTGTAACGAGGGAGCAAAGAGGCCCTCAGCTAAAGGGACCTGGGCACGGACGTGCCAAGCCCCCACCGCCTCTGCAGGGGCGCAGCCCCCACGAATGGCAGGGGAGGGGGTTGGGCTGGGTCCTTGGACAGGAGGGGTCCTGAGCCCTGCCCTGGGCTCCTCTGGTCCCCAAACCGGGACCCAGCCCCGTGTCCAGGACACAGACGCTCTCCAGAGAGCTGCAAGATGGCAGCGGGACGCCAGCCCCCAACCCCCTTCGTCCTGTTCTGGGCACCAAGCAACCTGGCCAGGAGACGGTGCACTGGGGATGACGGGCACTGGAAACCCAGCAAGGAGCTTGGGGGTGGGGGGGGCAATGCTATTCATGCCCAGGCCGCGGTTTCCCTAAGCGCCCGACAGCACGATCCCCAGTGCCACACGCCCTGCGCCCCATTCTCCTGACGCAAGACCGAGGCCCCGTACCAGCACAACGCTGCCCCTGCCAATGCCCTTCCCTGCTCCTCCCCTCCTAGGCCTGTCCCAGAACTGGGCTGAGACCCCCACACCCATGACCCACAGCAGGTGGCAGGGCTCGGGGGTCACGGAGGCACCGATCCAGCCACGGTTGAAAAGCAAAGCCCCGTGGAGCGGTCGGGGGCAGCCCCGGTGCCCCTCAGGCGCTCCTTTCTCCACGGGGAAAGAATGCGGCTCGGCAGCACGCTCATTCCTCACATAGCTGCCGCGCTCCCCCTGCGCCGCGCACGGCCCTGGGCAGGGGATTCCCACCACGCCGCGCCTGCCTGGGGCTGCTGGAGCGCAGCTCGTCATGGCCCTGCAAAAGGCATCCTGGCCCCTCTGTCCCAAGGGCAGGGATGGTGCCCCTGATGCCACGGGGGGCACGGGCAGGCCAGACGTGGCCTCTTCCCCCTGCACCTTCCCGGCTGCCGGCTCTTATCTCCCAGCCCCCATTCCCCCCCTCTCCCCACACATTCCTCACCACGCATGTAATGAGGGAGTTGCCAGCCCGGCACAGGCATCTGCTCCGTGGCCGCCCCCCCACCGCCCGCCCAACACTGATGACTATTGTTTGAGAGAGATTTATCGTGAAGGCTCAAATCTCAGCTCCAGAGACCCGGGGCACTCCTGGGCTCTCTGCAAGCCAAGGGGCGGATGTGGGGCAGGCTGCAGGGGCTGGGGCAGAGGGTGCTGCTAGTCACCATGGGGCCGGGCAGCTGGAGATCGAGATGGGGGCTCAACACCCAGACAGACAGACCCATCCCATGCACACAGCCCCAAGAGCCCCCCAGCAAACCCCTCCGGGAGCCTTTACCTTTGCAGCTGTTCTCCACCTTCTCGTAGCCGGCCCGGCACTGGCACTGCCCGATGGGCACCAGCCACTCCCCGTCCGAGTTGCAATGCATGAGGGGCTCCTCGCTGGCCACCGCGTCCTCCACGCAGGTGCCCTGCACCTTGGCCAGCGTCTGCGAGTCGGCGCCGGCCATGGTCTCGGGGAAGAAGGCCATGTTCTGGTGCACGTCGGGGCACTTCTTGTAGTAGATGCGGACGGAGACCAGAGCCACGCAGGCCCCGATGTCCTGGAAGGCCAGGTAGAAGCCCTTGCGGGTCAGGGGCCCCACGGAGCGCACCTCGACGTTCAGCTTGACGTTGCGGGTGGTGAAGTCGTCGCGCATGGTGATCTCGTCCGGCGCGATGGTGTCGATCTTCTTGAACTGGCGCTTCTGGAAGTTGGTGCCGTAGTCCACGTCCGACTCGGCGTAGTAGAGGTTGAAGGTCTCCTTGCAGGAGCTGGCGCCGCCGGGGAAGCTGTTGCAGTCACGCACCGTGAAGTTGAGCTCGATGAAGATGCGCTGCGCCTCGCTGCGGTAGATCCAGTTGGTGCGCAGCCAGTTGTCCTGGTCGCCCTCCATCACGTTGCAGACCGAGTAGATGTAGATGGGCGAGTCGTTCATGACGTGCTGCAGCAGGTCCCACTGCCCGGGGCAAACCAGGGGGTTAGATGACCACAGGCCCCACGGCACAGCTCGCTGCTAGGCTTGGACCTGGGGTGAAGCCCACCCAGCTCCGGTCTCCAGCGCTCCCCGGAAAGCCCCGACGTGGGCAACTATGGGACCACTTGGGGAAGTTTCCTCCTGATTTCCATCAGGCTGCTCCAGCCCAATAAAACCCGCATCTGCTCTGCAGGCACTTTCCCAGCACGCCTCCCCGCTGTGCTGCCTCCTCTTGCCGTGCCAAGATTTCCCATGGATCCCCCCACCCCCAGCCCACAAAATCCCTGGCAGACCCTGATGCTGCCCTGGGCTTTTACAGAAGGGGAAACTGAGGCACAGGGCACTTAGAGCCCGATGTTCATAAGGGTCTTGGAGCTGAGGTGTCCGACTCAAGAAGCCAAAGGGGACTCCTGGAGCTGCCAGCCAGCCCCTGCCTGCTCCTGGCGTTATCTCAGTCCAAGGACCTGGGCCAGCCTGGAGGGGCTCAGCCGGGGTCTCTCCGCGAGATGCTGCATCAGGGGTGCGGTGCGGGTCCCTGCATAGCCTGGGGCTGCAGGCGGAGCTGGGCCTGGGGGCATCCAGACTCCACCGTGGAGCATGTAGAGGAGGAAGGAGCCGGCGGGATGAATGTGTCAGCGCGGCCCGGCTGGCAGCGCACACGCTCCAATTAACCTCTTGACATGGCAGGGGCAGGGGAGGGAAGGCAGGAAACCCGCCGGGGGCAGAGGAGAGCAGCAGCCCTCGCTGCAAGCCGGGGAGAGAGGGGAAGGGGTCGCCAGCCTGGGGGTCTGCGCTGCTGAGGACGAGGGCTACTTGATCCCACCCAGAAGCCCCTCGGCCGCACGGCTGCCCTGACCTCTGTCCCCCGAGATCCACCCCCCCATGCACCTTGCGGGGCTGGGGTCTCTCACCTGGGGCCAGCTGTGCACTGCCCTGGGCTGCGAGCTCAGAATCGGGCCCCGTGGGAGTGGGCTGCGTCACTGCAGACTGCAGCATGCGAGGGGTTAAGAGCTTCAGCTGCGGGGGCTGGGATGCACGTCAGGGGCTCAGCTCTGGACCCCGCTGTCCCCCTCCCAGGCTCAGATGCAAAACCCTCCCTCCTTGCGTGCCTCAGTTTCCCCATCTGGGGACAAACCCCCAGCTCTGCTGCTATCCGGAGCTTGGTGCTTATCTTAGCTCCGGCCACTTCCCCTTCCCAGGCAGACGCTGCAGTTACCCTTCTCGAGGTACCCCGGGGCCATACAATGCCCTCTCCAACCTACTGTCCTGCCTGCCCCCACATCCCACCCCCACACATGTTAAGGGACATTAAAGCAACCCAGCTGCACCTCTTCCCACCCTGGGGGGGGCTTTGTGTTGATTTGAGGCCTGCTGCTCCTTAAGCCACCCCCCCTGAAGCCTCAGCTCCAGGACCCCGGGCAGAGGGCCTGGGAGCACAGCACTGCCCGGGACCCTGGAGCCAGAGGGCACAGCATTGCCCAGGCCTGTGATGCCGATGTCTCGCCCCCACGCTGCCCTGGCAGGGCCCGATCCCCATCGAGGACCAACACTGCCTCCCCCCAGACAGAGACGGGGTCTCCTCTTGCTAGGAGGTCGGGGCACAGCGCCAGGCGTGCACACTTACCCCTCTCCCGTAGGGATGGGTCAGCCAGCCCAGCTCCCCTTGGGCTTTGGCAAAATCCAGGAGGACAACTGGAAGAGAGAGAAGGCAATGTGCCGTTAGACCCACCCTGCAGACACCTCGTCCCCACCATGATCCCGAGGGATGCGACACCCCGGTGGGTTGAACCCTTGAACTGGGGGAGCACAGAATCAGGCCCTGGGCGCACAACCGACCCCGCGGGCTAAGAGATCGGATGAAGCCCAGACCAGCCTGCCGCTCTGGGGAACGATGCCTGGCATCTCTGCCCTCCCGAACCCACGTGCCAGCTCCCCAAAGCCACGGGCACTGGGCGGATGCAGCGTTGGACACCGGCAGCGCTTATCTTTATTGGCACCAAGCCCCAGCGTTTGAGAAGCTGAGTAACCGGCGGGGACATGCGCTCTTTATTTAGGAACAGGGCGGCAGCTCCAGGAGGAAAGGATAGAGGAATCAAAGGTCCGGGAGGGAGTTTCCAGCGATAGCCCATCGCTTCCACATCATGTTAGACGCCGGGACCAAACAGTCCACGGTGCGACCTGCTGAGTTACACCAAGGATGAATCTGGCCTCCATCACAAGGGTTATCAGCCTTCGTGCTTCAGGGCATCAGCTTGTGCAGGGGCAGGAAGGAACGGCTTCCCCAGCTGAGCACGAGAGGGACCGATGCCGTTCCCCGCGGCCTTGGGATACCAGGCAGGATGCTCTGCGCCAGGGCAGCAGCTCCCGTGTTAGCAGCCGCCCGTGCAAACCTCCCCGTTGCAAACGCCCCTGCCCGCCCCGAGCACGCCCTGCCAGCAGGATTTCGGCCTTCACGGCTCCCGTTCTCCAGGGTTTTTCCCCCCCACACTGTGTGAGAACGAGCTGCGGTGTCGCGGGGACAAAATCTCTTCCAGACGCCGGTTTGGAGGCCCGGGCTGCTTGCAGCTGCCAAGGCTGAGAACCGCTCATTAAAGTCGCGCTGCAGCTTGGAAAAAACAACCCTCCTGCCTTCAGAGGAGCCGTGTCTCTGCTGCCCGGGAGCTCCCACTCGGGCTGGGCGAGGAGCCCCGGGACATGCTGTCCCCCACGGTTTAAACGGCCCCGATTCTGCTGTCACCGACTCCGAGCGCCTCTTTGCAAGCCCCTGGGTCTGTGCTTGGCTTGGCGAGACCTGTGGGGAGCATGAGCAATGGAGGCCTGAAGCCCACTGGGTCCCTCTGCTGCGACCGCTGCCCTCTACACCCCCAGGTTTCTACCCCCCAGCTGATCTGCAGTGGATTTAGCCCCGTGGCCTCTATGGGAAGTCAAGCAGGGTCATGAAACCCACAAGGAGCGGGGAAACTGAGGCACAGGGGGATTAAGTGACTCGCCAGAGGCCGCGCAGGAAGGCTGTGGCAGAGCTGGGAGTTGAACCCAGGTGTCCGGAGCTGCGGTGACAGGACCGGGCCAGTTGGCTGCCGCACGTCAAAAGTGCAGCTGTGCCCAAGCAAAGGTCACGAGGAGGGAGACCAGAGACCACGCGGAGGGGGAGAGCCGGCGGGCAGAGTCCCCAGCCCCCCCGGGAGCACCGCTGGCCTAGAGGGGCCTGGGATGGGAGCTGGGGGGCAAAGTCCCCGGTCCTGTCCCTGGAGCTCAGGCATGTCCACGCATGCCCGGCTAAGACCGGCCGGTCCCAGCAGCGAGCAAGCGGAGGCCGGATGCTACCGAGGGATCCGCCGGGCTCGGAAAGAGGAAGGAAAGCACAGGGGGAAACACAGCCGGATGGAGCCCGAAATCAAAGGGCCGGCTGCCGAGGTCGGAGTGGAAGTGCTTACCGGCTCCTGGACCCAGCCTGCCAAGCGCCCCCGAATCAGCCCTGCAGGAACGTGCTCTGGGAGGGGTGGTGGGCAGGCGGGCGGCATAGCAGCTCCAGACCCCTGCGCTCAGGCCTGTGATCCCGCGGCCCCAGCCCACCCCCCCGAAGAGCCCCCAGGTCTGGAGTGTCCGCCCAGGGTCCCTGGGGCCAGGCTGGTGCGTGGGGGATCGGGGAACAGGAGGCAGCTCTAGGCCCCAGAGCTGGCTCCGGCTGCAGGCCGAGAACGAGCAAACTCGTGACGAGGCAGCAGATGCAGCCAGGGACACGGGTCCTGGCGTTGCACTAAGGGCCGGTCTGAATGCACCCCCTGCCGCAGTGTGGCTCACTGATCCCCAGCCCACGGGAGTGGCAAGAAGAGACCGCTCTCCCCCGCGTGGCACAGCCCGGGCCGTGCAGCACGGAGCCGAGTGCGAGGGCGCGCTGCGAGGGCATTGGACCCATCCTGCTGCTGACGGGTGAGGCTGGGGGCAGTCGGTCCCGGAGGGGAGGCTGTGCTGTGGGTAAGAGCCGCGGGATTAGTCTCGGTCTTCCCCAGACGCAGGGGAGCTCGACAGGGAGACCTCGCCGCGGCTCCAGCCCGTGCCCCTGGGACTCGCCGCACGGGATCCCCCTCCCGCCTGGCGGCAGACAGCCCTGGCTACACGGCGAGCCCCGTCCGAGCCAGTCGTGCCCCGTGCTGAGGAGGGAAGCTGTTGGTTTTGTGCAGCGGGGATTTCATTCAGGCCTTTCATTTCCTGCCTCCGGCCGACTCTGCCAGTGCCGAAATGTCTCTGCCACCTCCCGGCTCAGGCGATCCCGGCTGGTTTATTTACACTCCAAGGTGGGCTCATCTGGTTTCCATCCCCGGCAATGCAGGGCGCTAGGCGGAAACCGGCACCATTTCCTCCGCAACCTTAACCCATTTCTTTCCCTTTGACTATTCCCCACCCTTCCCCTGGCACTGTGCTACCCCTAGTCCAAGCCTCCCAGAGCTACATGCCCCAATTTCATTGCAGGTGATGGGAAGATCACAGACCCATTTTACTGCTGGGGAAACTGAGGCACAGAGCGGAGGAGTGACTCGCACATAGCACATGCTCCAAGCAAAAGCCCTGCTGAATCCGGGCCGGGGCAGGCAAACTCTCACGATGCCCCGTGCTTGCTCCCCCGGATACTGCTCCTACCCCGGCCCCACGCCCGAGGGTGGTATGATATCCTCGCGTGACGTCACCTCGCCCGCAGCCGCCTTATCACCGAGCCGCCCCTGCAGAGTTTTATTTGCAAGCTGCCTCTTATAAGCTGGGAAAGAAACCAGCCCCGGCCACGGCCCGTCCCGGCATTAGCCGTGTCATGCAGACAAAGCTTTCATGGGCCGGGAGAAATGCCTTCCCGCCCCCCCCGCCATTTTCATCTTTCTTTTTTCTCCCCCTTGCTTTGCAGGGCATGATTTAATCTCTTGTCATCGGACACGCACGGAGCCTAAGCAAACACAGGAAAAGGATCCTTTGAGACGGCAAGTGATTTATTTGCCCAAGACCACAAAGGCTGGCAAAAAAGAAACCCGTGAGCACGGCTCCAAGGCAGGCAGCTGCCTACCACAGCCAGGGCTGCGGGGCTAAACACCTGTCTACACAACAGCTCCTGCCACGGCTGAATGGCCACCACTTCATGCCAGGCCCCACATGGGACACGGAGCAGAGCTGGGATTCGAAATCGGGTTCTCAGCCCAACCAAGAGGCCACTTCACCCAGCCACCCTATGCATTTCTATAAGGTGCCACCCTGCCCTGCCTTCTCCCAGCATCAGCTGGCACGCCTCTGCTCCCGGCTTTGCACAGCCGGCGATGTTCTGCTTTACCGACAGGTGGGGAATCGCCCGATTGCTCCCCTCACCTAGGACATCGGTACGTGCCTCTCGTGGGAGCAGACCGTAAAGTGTCAGGATCCATCAGGCAGATCAGAGACGAGAACTTTACGCTCGAACAAGCGTCTGAGATTATAGCCCAAGGACGCGTTCAAAGCGTGGCTTTCTAAAGCAGCCGATTTAGCTCCGTTGCGGCATTAAAAAAAAAAAGTATAAAAATAGACCCGGGGAGTTTACCGAATTAAAATCCCTCCCCAAAGTCTGCAGCAACTTTAATTTGAAACTGCAATTTGGCAAGAGATGAGACACCAATTACGCTGGCACTTGGAAAATAACAAACACAGCACTCGTCTTAACAAACTACCGCGGCTTTAATCCGAGCGCGGGAGCAGCCCGGAGAAGCTGCTGTAGTAATGCCTGGGGTCTGTTTCTTTTTTTAAGAACGGTGCAATAGTCAGAAAACTGCTGCTAGTTGTGAAGCACCGGCTTTCCCCCACCACACCTTTTTAGGTGCCCGACAGAAGGAGGCAAGTCCTAGGCACCCAAAAGAGCATTGCTCCAAAATGCGAGCGCCCAAAATTAACAGCTGCAGTTAATTCATTTTTTGCCTTAAATAACTATTTGCTTTATTGACTCTTCTGCCTCTTACTGAGCAATTACAGCCCAGCCAGCCAGGCATGCCCATTATTCCAGTGTCTTCTGCGTCCAAGCCACACTTGGTATGGGTTTTATTTTTTAAACTCTTCCAGCATCCAGAATAGCCCTGGGCTCGGCCTGGGACAATACCTCAGGTTTGGATGTCTCTTTTTTTGTTGTTGGAGACATACAGAAGGAATCCAATTAGAACCGGCAGCTCCTTTTCTAATGGTTACTTTGGATGACATGAGTCCACACTAGGCTCTTCCATCCAAGTCGACTCTGGGAGCATTTCAGTCTAGATGGGCGTTTTATCCACGCGGTCTCTCTCATCACTGCAGGGCAGGCTCCGGGGCTGAGCCCATCCTAGGTTGAAGGGGGAAAGTACGGACCCCAATCTGGATCTGCATGGCGCAGCTCTGCCCGCAGGCATTTCGAAGCACCCTGCTTTAATCTCTCTCTGGGCGTCATCCAAAACTCGGGAATTAATGGGAGTTTTCCCACTGCCTGGATCAATTACTGATCCCTGCAAGCTTGTCTGCAAACAGTTTTTTAAAACCGATTTGAGCGTCGAGATTTAGCAATAGAGCTAGTTAAATCTGTACACACGCACGCACGCACACAGGACGACTGCAACAGGACGGTGCTTCTGGGGGTGCAATGCACTCTTTTTACAGAAATGGGCATAACAGCACCCTTAAACCGGGAGCAGGGAGCACCAAGGCACAAAGCCACAAGGTCGGACCCTTAAACTATTCCAAAATGTTCCTCGATATTTTCAGGGCACAATCCACTCCTGCTTTTAACTCCTGTCCCCTGTGCGGATGCACACTCCCAAAATGCCTAGACCTAAACTCTGGAGTCCAGATCTGGAGCCAGACCTCCGAGCATGGCCCTACACGGGGAACCCGGTCCCGCTCCGTTCTGCAACAGGGGAGCAACTTCCCCGCCGACCAAAAACTCAGCACCAGTGGTGGTCAACCCTGTCCGGGGACAATCCCCGGGGCCAACGCCAGGTTGACTCTGGGGGAGAGAAGAGCAGCAGCAACCCCACACGCCCATTATGTGCCTCTTTGGAGGAGACAAACAACAGATCCTTTCCCCGCCGCTTCACACTTCTACGCCGGGGTTTGCACAGGATACGAAGGGGAATCTGGTGGGAACCCCCTGCTGATCACACTCCTGGGCGTGAAAAAACACCTCACCCACCTCCCAGCTGCTTGCTCAACCTCCCTGCCCCTCGGGCGCAGCCCTGCCAGTGGACTCATCCTGCACCCCAGCCCCAGCTGGGGTGATCTGGGCAGTTGAGCAATCCCCGTGACACTCCTTGAACTTCCCCACAAGTTACCTGCCCCTGACTCAGCCAGCTGGGGTGGATTTGTGCAAGGGCCACTTCCTCAGCAATGAGCCAGGAGACCGAGCCGATTCCAGTAACAGGGAAGTTTTCCGCCTTTCCTGACACATTCACGTTTAGGATGAGGAAACCCATTCACCTGCAGCAGGGCTCCAGCTCAGCACTGGCTCCCTTACACCGCCATCTGCTTTGCACGCACCCTGGCTGCTCGGATCCTGCCTCCTGGCAACTTTCTCCTCCCAAACCACGCACCCAGCCTGGCCTCCCTTGCTCTTCTGGCCCCGAGCATTTTTGATCCAAATCAATAGCACACAAGAAAGACACGCGGGCGAGAGCCTGGTTGGGGGCACTCTGTGGGTACCCCCCCACCCCATCCCACCTCAAAGACTTTCCAACTTTGCATTTTTCCTAATGGAAACTCTGGATTGGGGTGGGGGAAACCCATCCGGCTTCCAGTGGGACAGCAAAACCCTGCCTCCAATGGGGCAGCGGACTGGGCCCACATCCGGGGGGGCAAATACCCCCTTGGCTGGCAAAGGACCTGGCTCTGTGGCCCCTCATGCCCCGAGTCCGGGTGCGGGCACCCCAGGGACAGGTGGCGGGGGTGTTTTCCCAGCAAAGAAGGGGGCAGCAGGGTCTGGGGCTGCGGGGAGGGGGTCTGGGGTGCCACCTCCCAGCCAAGGGCATGGAAAGGCAAGGCGGGGTGCCCCTTTCCTTACCTTCCTTGGCCTGGGCGCTGAGCAGGGTGCTGGAGAGGAGCAGGAGGGAGAAGAGCAGGGGTCCTGGCCCCTGCCTGCGCTGCATCTCGCCCATGCCGTGTCCCTGCTGCCCTGAACTTCTTAATGGGAGTTTGTGGGAAACTTCGCTCCTGTTCATTCATGCCCCCGCTGATGTCACCCAGGCCACTCCCTGAGGAATGCCTGGGCCTGGCCCTTAAAGAGACAGCACTCCCGCATACGCATGCGGGGGTGAGGGGCAGGTGGGATCCCTGCTGCAGCTTTGATCTTTGATGGATGCCCCGTCTCGGGGCTGTCCTGCTGGCAGCAGGGGGGCAAAGCTGGCAGTCCAGCTGGAAACCAGCAGGACATATTTGGGAGGGAGGGGGAGAGGGGGGTTGGGACAGTCACCCAAACACATCCCCTCACCCCACAGCTAGCAATAGACCCCTCGCCCCGAAACGTACCCCCGTCCCGTCACCTGGAAAGATACCCCTCGACTTGCACCCAGAAATATACCTTCACCCAGAAGTGTGTCCTGCCTCCTTGCCCAGATATACACCCCTGCCCTGTCACCCAGAAATGTCCCTTCACCCAGAAATCTCCCCCTCGCCCAGACATGTGCCCTCCATCCCACCCCGACCCGGTTCGGTGCAAAGCAGGCGGCTTGGGGAAAGAAAACCTCGTTCCAACAGCCTGGCCCATGAGCAGCCGTCCAGCCTCCCTCCCTGTCACCGGCGCTGAGCCGCCTACACCCTCTTTCCCCCCCTTGGCCGCAGCGACTATGTCTTTAAATGCCTCTGCCTGCTTCGAGCAAGCGGGGAAGGTTAGATAATTTATTCTTTAAATGCCACCCGTGGACATTGCCCCTAGCAAGCATGTGCTTTTTGCAAACTCATTCCCTGGGGTGAAATTTTCCGCCCATCCGGTGCAAAGGTCTAAGTCTGGTGGTGGGGGCTGAGCACATGACTCGCTGGCTGGCGGGGGGGCTTTTGAGACATTAGCCCTGCACACCCTGCTCTGAACAACCTGCTCCATGCCAACAGCTGCAAAATATACCCCCGTCCCATCACCCAGAAAGATACCCCTCGACCCTCACCCAGAAATATATCCCTGCCCCGTCACCCAGAAATGTGTGCAAACCAGGAGGCGATCAGGGCAACGGTGCAGGCGAGAGAAGGATTTGGGCAGGGCTCTGTGGTCCCGGCCAGGCACTGGGCAGACCCCCCTCATGCCAGCGAGAGGGGATTGAAGAGATCTCGGTGCCACATACAGAGGCTGGAGCTGATCCTGCGTTGGCGGGGTTACACCGTGCTGTTATATGGGCTAAAGGGGAATTTATACCGATTTAGACCCAGAGCCCAGCAATAATCCTGTTATCAGTGCAGCTATGTGCAGGCCTCCAGTGCCCCTTTGCAGAACAGACATCACCCCCCACCCTGCGTAAAACAGCCTCGTGGGTTTGCTTTTCCACACCCAGCAGCTCCGCTGGCGGCAAGCCTCAGAAGCAACAATTGCAGCCAGCCCCATGGGGCAAAGGATCTCGCTCTTCCCCGGCGCAAGGGAAGGCCCCAAGGTGCCACATGCCATTCCCGGCCCACAAAGCGCTGGTAAAACCCCAACCCTGGGCTGGTGTTTACACTGGTGGGAAGTGAAGTGTGGTGGCAACAAACCCTGGCAAGGTGCGAACAAGGATAAAGCTCGAGTGTAATCCCTTCCCCAGCTCGGCATGCCTGCGGGGGGACTGCCGTAAGCTCCCGTCTGCTCCCAGGACTGAGTCGTGCCAGGTGGGGGATATTGTACACGTGGAAAATGCCCAGTCCTGGGACCTTTCTGATGCCCGGATCCTGCCACTTGTTACCGGCAGGCGTGGGCCTGGGGAAGGGGCGAGTTGCGGGGAGGCTGGGACCTGCCTGCAATGCAGCACTGGGCAGGACCGGGGTCCAGGCAGCTTCCCAAGAGCCCCCTGTGCATTCAGGGCTGGGACCCTAAATGAATCACTGACAGAAGTCGGTCATTAAGCTAAGCCTGTGACTGCTAATCTACACAGCCTCCTTTTTTTTCCTCCCCCCGGCCCTCGCCTCCTCCAGCTGCTCTGGGAACGTCACCTGTCACCGTTCATCCATCCTAACCGGTGAGCTCTCCCTCCAGGCGATGCTGCTGGGCTGGTTGTTGGTACAGCACAGACACTGCTCTGCCTTCACATCCCATTTGCAGCCACATGAGATCAGAGTTATTTGGAGGAGACAAGCCTGCAGGAAAAATCAAGGGTTTCTTTTAGGGATTTTCACCAAATGACTTGATTTTCAAAAAAAAGGGGGAGATGTAGCTGACCCTGGCTTTTGAGCACTGCCCTCCAAGGGCTGCAAACGGATTCAGACAAAGGTTATTCCATCAGGCGGTGGGATTTAGGCGCCACGGTTTGTGTGTGAACTCGGCCGTTTCATGAGAGATCATGTCTCTGAGTCACTACCTGGTGGATGGGGGGAATGCAATGGCTCATCGTAGCTGCATTCTTTCGAGTAAAAAAGTTGGGCTTCCTCTGATCTCATTTCAAAACCTAGAAAGGAACAGCGCGGAGCGATTATCCTGCTGGATGCTTGATAATCTTTGTTCTGCCTTTTGCTTTGACACCTGATGTGCCGCTCCGCCGAGAGACACAAGCTGTCTGAGCACGTTGGCGTGCTTTGCGGAGATTAAGGGGGTGCAGTGCTAGAACAACACAGGGTGGGTGACAAGGGATCGAGGGGCCCTGACAAAGCGGCAGGGAGGAGGGAACATGGGGCTGGCATAGCAGGGTCCGAGGGCTGGGATGGAGGGGCACCGGCACCCAGGCAAGCGGGGAGCTGCGGATCAGGATGGAGATGTGATGCCCCGTTGCAGGACATCCTGCCGTGCAGAGATCTACAGGCAGGGAGTGTCTTTGCTCCAGGATCTCAAATTCACCCTGCAGGGCAAGGGATCAAACAGCTCCAGAAGCTGCTGCAGTATCCCAGGCCCTAGCTCTCCCCGCTCGCACTCTCATCCATCTCCACCCCATTCTCTAGGCCCCACATACGACTCTTCCCACATCATTTTGGGGCTTAGTCCCCCCCAGAAATCAATGGCAAGACTCTTAGACTTGAGTCTCGATGACCCTGCAATGGCAGCACTATGCCCACAAATGCCCTTGGTAACTCTGCAAAGGGCAGGCCTGGGGCCACCATCTCTGCCCACACCTGCACGAGGGCCCTGGCACGCTGCTCCCTGCACGGCGTTTGAAGTCCCGAGCGCGGCGCTTCCTGTGCAGAAAGTCCCAGTGCGGTAATTATGGCCCCGCGCTCTCCCCCGTAAGTGACTGCCGGGCTGCGGTTGCTTGAAAGGTGAGCGTTGCAGCCTTGACTTCCTGCTCGGATCGATCGCGTTTCACAGGAGCCTTTGAAGTAGATTCCTGGAAAATCCTCCCCATTAGACAGCGAGCATAACCATAGCCCCGGCCTGCCTGGGATTTGCCAGCCACACCTTGATCGATGGGTTTGGTGCCAGGGGCTTCTTCACTCCGTGCCAACAATCACGTCTCTTGTCATTTTAGCTTTGCAGTTTCAAGGGGGGGGAGATTTTTCTCACCCGAATGAGATGGAGACAAGGCTAGACATGGCTTGTGGAGGTGCTGGGTGAGCTTCCCCTGTCCACCTCTGCCATTGCACTAGCAAGGGTGCCCTCTCCTAGCACAGCTAGCACTTCATTAGCGGCACCCTCTGCTTGGCTGGTCCCAAGCTCAACAGCTCTCAGAGACACCACGTGCCTGCCCTGCAACACCCGGTGATTTTCCAGGCTTGTTATCCCTTCCTAGGTCCCCAGAAACCAGCTCCCCTCCAGTACTATTCCCACCCTGGGGTCTGGACCTATGCTAGGGAAACCATTGGGCATGATCCCACTTGTCACTTCTCTTTTGGATCTAGACAGTCACTGTCATTGCAAAAAACACAGCTACTGAGCTCCTTTGCAAGCCACTTTGAGATTGAGGGGTAACAGAGCCAGAGAAGAGCTGGGGTTGTGATGGAGGGACAGGAAGACGGAGCGGAAGAGAAGGGAGGAAAAGGGGAGGCAAGTGACTGAGCAGACGCGCCCGTCTGTCCTAGGAAAGAAGAGGCTGAGTGGCGAGTGCAGGAAATGCTCATTCAGAGAGAGGTTGGCTGAGCCCCTGGCAATCCTGACAGCATCCATTGGCATCCTGCCATGCAATGCCAGGGCTGGAGTGGGGCAGGGGCTTTTCGCAGCCCTGGCCCTGCAGCTGTGGGCTGGGACAGGGATCCTCACCCAAGGGAGCCAGCCATGGGGAACCTCCCCCCCACCCCCGACTCTTCACTGTGGGTCCCCGCAGGCTCTGGCCCCCTGACCTGGAGGGAGAAGCCATCCAGGCTCTTGTCCCCTTTCATCCTTCAAGCAGTCTCCCGCGGGGCAGACCCTGCCGGGGTAGGGAGGGGAGCACCGGCAGGAACGGCGCTAGACAGGAGAGCTCGGGGACAGGAGACCAGGCATCACCTTTGGTCCTAGGGCCTGCGACTTCTCCCTTGTCCCCTCACCCCCAGTGCAGCTCTTGGACACAGCCCAGTGCAAAACCACAGCTCTCCTGGCCTGCTCGTTCCTCCTGCCCGGCTCTTCACGTCTCCTGACCCCTTTGCAGGGTAGGAGGTCTCGTGGCATTTCCATTGCCCGTCCATCCCAGGCAGCCGCTCGCTGACAGGACGAGCAGGCTCTCAAGCCTAGAAGAGGGTTGAGCAAACCCATGCTCCTGCCGCCAGCTCTGCCCAGCGCACCCCTCCAAGGCTCTTTGCTCGGCCTGTGGCCCCTCAGCTGGGAGCGGGCAGCATTTCTCAGCTCCCAGGTCAGGAGCTGGATGGACACGGCACCCCGACACGTCTGCATCCTTCACTGGGGGGGGATGAATGGCCTGGAAGCCCTGATGGTGGGGACCCAGTGGCTCCAACAGGAAATCGAGGGTTGAGTCTCAAGAGCAATGCACCCTTCGGCTACTCCGTGGCACCCTTCCCTGGCCGAGCAAGGACCATCAGCCGCGGTCCAGCTCATCAGCAGCAAGACGAGGCTGCGCCCGCTCCTGTGAGTGCAAGGCACGGGGGCTCAGCTGGAGCATCCTCCTCCCTCGGGTAAAGGATTTAT